AATTTATTTTCAAAAATGACCAGAAACACAGAGTAGTGACGTCGGGAGGTCAGGGCGCACCGCGGCTGACCTGTGGCGGTGGCGGCGCGGCCCAGCCCCACCTGATGTGCCCCACATATGCAGCCCGCAATAAATACGGACCCGCCGCACAATTTGCATACAAACATCATCAGCATCGACGTGTGTGGGTTCACGCGACACGGCGGGCCCGAACCGACACACACACTGCAACGGCCAGAAACTCGCACAAAAATAACAAAAATTAGTTTCCTTCGGAAACAAAACAACAAAAAGCGCTGGACGTGCGTGTGTGCGGGGGGGCGGACGAGACCATAACTTGGCCGTGGTCCAGCCCGCAGCCCGGCCCGGTCGGCAGGTGGTGTCCGTGGCGACTGTACAAAGCACCAGGTAACTCGGCGCCACTGGCCGTGTACACGCGTCCCGCCGGGGCCGGCCGGGGGCGTTAGGAGTATGACTCGTAACGGCAGACGCACACGCGAGCCCCCCGCGCGCCCCGCCAAGTGAGAGACACCGTGTCACACACAAGCAAAAGAGTTGACTGAGCAACAACGTCGCACGACCAAAAGAACTGAGCATTTGAGAAAATTGATTATTTCTAAAATAATATTTAATAATTTATTTTCTTTGGGAGGGGCTGGGGGAAATTGCCTTGTTGTGGTACTTTGTCCACACATAAAATACGATGGTTACAAAAACAACAAGAATCAAAAAGATTCGATCGTCGTTCACTCACCTTATGATAAGAACGCTGGTTGCCGCGTGCTGGGACGCGACGGGTTGGTGGTGGTTGTGGTAGATCCAAGGGGGGCTGAGGAGCACGGCACTTGGACACGCACTGTATGCACTCGCGTTCCGGCTGCTACCCGACGGCACGGACAGCCATTCACTGACGCACTTGCACACTCACACACACACACACACACACACACGAGATAATCCAAATGTATCCGGGGTCCGGGAGTTGTAGCGGGGGCGGCGGCGCCGACAACGCGCACCTGCAGAGAGAAAGAGAAGGAGGGCGTGAGTGACACGATCTTGTACTACAACAGTATGAAGTGAGAGACACCTCGCACAGCGCGCCCGCAAATGAGTGACTCGGCTGTGCACACATTCGGACCATAGCACGGTGTAACTTGCGCGGCTCGACTGGGGAATATAGGGGGACTTCTGTCACTGACGGCCAAAAAAGCCGACGACGACAGGTCGCGACGAGAGAGAGAGAGAGAGAGAGAGAGAGAGAGAGAGAGAGAGAGAGAGAGAGAGAGGCGGCAGCTGCTGCGGCGTTGCTCACAAACACCTCACGG